GAGTTGTATAATAGTTCTTTGTCTAACTTTAATATATCACCTCCTCCCGAAAAGCTCGCTCAGGGGACAGTCCAAACATTTATTTCTACAAACACTTCAGATATCCCTTGTTCACCTTCACCGTCTGTAACTACCATTGCCTCTCAGGACGAAGACGATAATATTCCCATGTCATAGGTAATCGGTTTGAGTATTTTTTGTGTGGAGCAATTGTGCACATATGGAAAATTTTTTTTAAATAATTTGCAATTAAACATATTTATTACAATAAGGACAAGATATTTAATCTATACGTACAGTAGATCTCCTTAATGCAATTTCTCTAAATACAACACCATAAATCTACTCTGATTTTGTAGAGGCTTAACTGTATATACATTCTTAATTTTTACAATTTTACTGATTAAATATATACAAACTTTTTTTTTGTTTACAAATTGTATTATAAAAATTATAGGTTTAAGTTTTTGCTTTGATTTAAACAATACCGTAAATTTTCGAAATAGCGGACATGGGCGTTATTTCGAAAATCACGCCCACTAAAAATAACGTATGTGATTTCGAAATAATGCCCATGTGCGTTTCAAAATAACGCGCACCCCAGTATATATTAGATATATAAGTTTACATCCACCGTCTAGTATATACGTATCTATGAATAATTTTAATGATAATAGAGATGTGAGTTGGTTTATGAATTTTTTTTTGGTAGTTTGACAAATATGTAGATAAATAGAAGAACATTTAATGCTATTGAGGGACTTTTTTAACTTTTGCATGTTTCAATTTTTGGATTTTATTTTTTATTTGCATTTTTTTTATCAACTACTTTGCATATAATTTGTAATTAGGTAATTTAATTGTTTTACTTATAAATATTATATATCCAAAATCAAAAATTACTACTATTACAGGGTAATATTTTACCTATAGTATTATTTTTTAAAAACCCAGATTTAAAAATCAATCTATATATTCAAAATAATCTATAAGCATACTTGAAATAATGTATAAATATTTAAATAGCAAATAAATGTCTACTATTTTGAGAATTTATAATGTTACAAAGCTGTAGCCTTCTTAAACCAATACAGCTATGCAACAAGGCCACCTAGTGTAGTGATTGACTTTTGCAGATATATATAGGGTGGAAGTATAGTTGTTCACTTAACTATACAGCAGGAGACAAATGGTTTGAGATAGTAATAGTATATAAAATAATTTTATTTTATGCAAGAATATAATGATAATCTTGCTTGTAAGAATTATCTTAAAGAAAGAATATTACATTTACAAGATAAGGAGAATATAAAAAAAACAGAGTCTAAAGTGAAGTATAGAAACTTAGAAATTGGCAAAAAGAAAAAAAAGATATTTTTTATATATCTTTTTATTCAAAAAGAGGATACACAATATATATTAAATAAGTAATACTTGGCAAGAGAAGATGAGGAATTGTACTGAGAGAAGTTAGAAAAATATAAACATTACTTGCTTTGTTTATATTTTATTTATTATTTGTAAAGAGAAACTTGAAAGAAGAGAACTTAAAGAACTTTGTAATATAGTATTTTGTATTTGAAATATTGTAGCAAACTTTAAAGATTTGTATAGAGAAACTTGTATTACTTTCTTGTATTATTTTTTTATATAATCTAAAGTATTCTTTTGTATAATTTTGTATAATCTCAGATTATATAACTGTGCTATATTTCTAGTAGCCAATCAAAATATTTATATATAATTGTTATATATATATATATATATATATATATATTTTCTACTTTGGCTATCTTGCCAATAAACCTTTATTATAGAGCATTTGTTTGATCAAACAAAAGACAATTGTATTATATAACATTAAAGCTTAATAGCTTGCAGTTACTTCTAAGAATATTTATAAGTGACCAGCTACACTGAGCAGATATATCTATTTAAATATATCTGATAAGTTCATAATAGAAATTTTATCTATTTTAGAAAGATATTGTCAGACTACCGCTCTACAATAAAATATCAAATACTAAAAAAAAATGAAAACTAATATTAAAAACAAACAAAAACAAGAAAAGTAGAAAAAAAAAGAAAAGAGAATTTGACAAGTTATGATTATAGACTTGTATCAGATCTTAAAAATTATATATTACAAGATAAAGAAGCTCTGTATTTAACTCTATTCTAATAATATATATAAGTAAAAAAAATATAAAAAAAATGCTAACTAAATTAAACAGAGTAGTTTGAAATATAAAAGTCTTGAAGTATTGTTTGAATGATTTTTCTGATTAAGATACATGATTATTGTATTATTATATAATCTATATTCAATTGCTTATTTTGGATATTTGCCTGATATCTCATTTTAAAAATTTTATCTATATATATAAACAGATAAACAATGCTAACTGTTTTAAAAAATTATATGTTAATCTTTTGGAAGAGATAAGTTGAAATACTACTTTTTGACAAAATTTCTTTGAAAAAAGTAGTGAGTTAACAAAACTTTTTTGTAGTTGTTTCTTGTAAGTTTTATAGTTATATAAATAAACCTAAAGCTTAGAATACTCCCGGTCTTCTATAGCATTTTTTTATAGTTTGGTTTCTTGAATTTTGTTGACCAGATGATCATTAGAGAGAGTTATTTAAAATAATAATTGTTATATAATATATTTTCTAAATATATATAAAACTAATATATAATAATATAATAAATATATTATTTAATTATAAGAAAAATATAAATATAAAGTTTAATAAAGAAGAAGAAGATATGAAAGATGTGATAGAAATTAAAGCTAATAGTTCTATAACTATATAAAATTTAAATAAAGAAAAAAAAGAAAGATATTTTATAATATTGTGATTTTAATAATTTTAAACCAAAGAATAAGAAAAAAAGAAAAATAGTTAAAGAAGATAATGATAAAATATTGAATTTAAATTTTGATGATGAAGATTAGATAGATTAGTTAATATTAATTTTGGATAATAATGATAAAGTTTGAAGAGAATAGTAAAAGTAAAAGGCTTTAAAGAAATATAAAAGTTATTTTTTTTGATTCTAATAAAATTTATTATTAAGAAAATTGTAGTATTATAGTTTTAAATTTATTACTAAAACTAGTTGTTATTTTTTTTTATATTTAGTGATTCTACCTATTATTCTTTTATTAGAAGTACTAGAACTTATATTAATAGGAAGATATAATTTTAAATACTATATTCCATACAAATAAAGATCAACTTAAGCTAAGCTCAAGAATAATTCACCTAGTAGCAATTAGCTTCACATTGGATCCTTAACTTACTGAAGATTTGAACTCTTTGATTCTTAGCTCTAGCAGCTATATCACTTTATCAAAAGAGCCAAATTAATGAAAATACAAATATAAAAGAGAAAAAAAACAAAGATAAAAGGAATATAATAAAAGATACAAACAAAAAAAGAAAAGGAATAGGAGAATATTGAAAAAAAACAAAAAAAAATTTGTCTATTTAATGATTATTATTATGAGTTTGTGAATAGTTTATAAATTATATATTTTTAAATAAAC